CACAGCCTCTAAATATTCATCTAGAATCCTCTGCCCACCCCTTCCTGTCCCCGGAACACCCCACCCAGCAATCTCGTCCTTTCTTCCTTATCCAAATCCCTGTCTCAAGTGGAGAATCATCAGACACCTTTGCCCTCCCATCCCTGGTTCCTGTCGTTACACCCCAACACCCCCAGACCCTGATAACTCCCATCTTCTCTACACTTACAACACCTGCAGGGCTGCTGGAGAAATGTAACGCACCAGGCAGGCAGCGTCACCACACATGGCACTACATAGCTGTGGGCAGAGTGTTCAGTGCTGCGTGACCATCCCTGTACTTGTCCTGGACCTTCTCCCTCCTCCAGTCTCTTCAGCAGCCATGCTAAATGCCCCCCTCCCAGGGCCTGTCCCCTCACTCTGATGACTTAACCTGCTGCCTCAGGGAGAATGGAGAAGATATCAGACCCGTCATCAACCCATCCCCACATGTGCCGCCCCTTCACAGGCTCCCCAGGCTGGCCTTTTCACAGACAGGCTGTAAAACATACTGAGCAGAGCCGGGACTAGGGAAGGCAAGTGAGGCACTTAATTTGAGTGCAAAATTTAAGGGGCTACCAAAAACACAGTTGTCAATGTAATATTTTAATGCAATATTTTTTAAAAATCGAAATTAATGCAAAAAGTCCATGATGAACAAAATATCAAAACTGTAAACAGAGACTAGCTTCTTTTTTGTGCTTACACATCCCTGCCTCCTTCACTCACCCCAATCCTATCTGCTGACTGGATCCTACTGGGTGCTGAGTGCTACTGACTCCCATGGACATGTCTGCATTCATATATGTATGTATTTGAAATAAATAAAGTATCATAAAACAATACTAATTCTATTACATACGATGCACACTTCTATTCCTTTTTTTTTTTTTTTTTTTAATGCTGGACACCTAAACCTTCTAAACTGGTTGCATGAACCATCGGTGGATTATGTTCTGCAAATCTGAAAAAAAACCAATCTAGATGGAATCATTGCTCTACTATAAAATGATCCCCTTATTTCAGTTGTTGCCCCCCCCCAAAAAAAACAAAAAAACACAAAATTCTATATAAGTAGGCAATATAATTTGACAAAAAGACTAATGGATTAGAAGAAGAAAGCTGAGTAATTTAACCATTCCATTCTAGCTCTAGTTTTCTCCCTGCTGGAGAAATAAAATATTTTAACAAAATCTGCCTCTGAATGGTCTCATAGAAAATAGGACTGAATTGATGATTGTCTTCATTTTAAATATCAATTTAATATTCATAATATCCCCATGAATCACAACATATTAGTGATACCTTTTAAAGTGACGTGCTTATATGAGTATAAACTAATAAGGCTCCTCCAGTAAGTCACAGACTTTTTAGAAATGGCTCAGTACTTTATACCTTTTACATTTGAACTTTTATTACTTAAAGTCCCATGTGAGAGACAATTTTTGGCTCCTGTCCAGGCATAATTCAAAGAAAAGAAACGTAAAATTTTCTGTACCATCTTATGTTGCCTTTTGTTCTACATTCCAAGTTTTTTTTTCCTGGCTTCTTCTGATCATCAATTCCCTGTTAAACACAGCCAGTACCAATCCTCAGGAGCCAAATTGCCTTGTTGAAAGAAATCAGGAATAAAAAGCCCTGAATTTGCTGGAAAAGCTCTAATTTGATCTTCATAGATTTTTCTTGATAAATTAGTTACAGTATTTGGTGCTCAGAAACATAACTGGTTACTGTTCAGTACTAATTGCCTATTCTATTTACTTAAGAAGGAAGCAACCTGAAATTTTAAACTCACGTTTTAAGTGTGAAAAATTAGATATCCTCTCAAATGTTCTGAGTGTTTCCAGTATAAGGCCTATAAGAAAGGAAAAATTCTACCCAACAGCTGTCTTCACATGTTTTTGTGGCTGTTACTTTAGCTATGAAACGTTATCTCAAGCCACAGGCAAAAATTAGAAGCCACTAGAATCATTACTCTTCCACAAGGAAGACATTTATAGAGTTAGTTCTTGATTCAGGTTAGTCCAAAGACTTTAAATTCCATTTATTAAGCATGGACATGGGACAGAGGGGAAAGTCGGGTTAAAAGACTACTGCGTGAATCCAGTGACAAGATCCCCACCTATCTAAGTTATGTTTTTTTATAAGTTAAACACAGGTGTAGCTTTCTGTTTGCTGGTTAAGGGGGAAAGAAAGACAGGGAAATATCAAATAAACAAATAGGTAAAAACAGACCTAAATCTTTAATAATGAAACTGGTGGCATGGGACTATAGAGTATTATTATATTTTAGAGGAGTTATATTAAGTCACTAAAAATTCTCAGTAACCAGTTTGATTATGCAGAATTTGAAAAAAGAATTAAAAAGCTGTAATATAAAGGAGACCTCAGGTCAAACATTTGCTTTTCTAAGCTTGGCCCACTATTCATTCTTGCAACATTGCTGTTTGGGTTGACAGGGCTACTGGCTCTTTTAAACACAATTCTTATCAGTTTTTTTCTTGCCTACTTAAGAAACAAACTCCTTTTACCCACTCTAGCAAGTTTGCTAGCACAGGTGTGTTTACTGTACACTAGGCACTGTTCTGAATGCTTTATGAATGCTTTACATATACAGTAACTCTTTAAGCTTCACAACAACCTATGAAGGAGAAATGATCTCTCCATTTTGCAGAAGAAACCGAGGCACCGAGATACCAGGTTAACTGTATAACTTCCATAAATTCCAAACCCCGTGGCAGCTCAGAGCAGCCGATGGCTTTGGTCCTGTCCCTGAGTGCTTCACCTGCCCTTCCTCCCTGGCACAGCTCTTCCTGCAGTTCCCCTCAGAAGGAAGTGGGCAGAGAAGCAGGAGGGGCAGGGTCAAGATAGAAAGAAGGCAAAGAATTGGCTTTACTGTCTGAAGTGTGGCGTCATTGATGTTTTGCTACCACCTGCACTTTGTTAGCACTTGTTCTCACTTTCTCTGTCATCTTCTTTCTCAATTTCTTTTTCACTTCCTTTTCCTAACCTTCCACTCAATTTCCCCTCCTTCCTTTTCTTGGTCTGAATAGTACTAGACAGTGGGCAAAAGCGACCTCATGAGTCTGTGTCCTTTGGGTAGATAGTCTTTCCTCCATAAAGAAAATTGGGAAATCTAAGGACAGAGATCCTAAGTGGCAGAAGGAGGGGGAAAAAAGGGGGTGGGGAGGAGGGAAAGAGAGGAGAGAAAAAAGTATCGGACTCAGAGAGGATGTTTTAAGCAGATATTTGATGAACAATTACTGGAAAAAATGAAAGGCAAGGAATCACACACACACACTCCCTAGCCCTGGGAAAGTTATCATTCTTTTATTAAAAAGTTGTATCAAAACTTTTTTTCATGTGTAAGGGAAGGGCACATTTGAAGGTATATTCAAAGTTGGCTTATAAAATGATACACAGGAAGTAAACATAATTAATGCATGTAAATAAGTTATCCATCATAAGGTTTATAACCAGTGGATGAATCAAAAATACAAGTTCACCTATCAATAGAATAAGAGTTAATGCCTAAAATGCATGCCCACCCCTTTAATATGATATAAAACATGCTGAAAATTGCCACCAATCCCAGTCCCACCCTTGCCACCCACCAGGACTTTTCAGACACAATGACTGCTTTATCTGGATCACTAGAAGAACAACATTCATTCAAACTAGGATTTTTCAAACATTCTTGAGATTTCTTAGGATGACTTTGCCCCAGAAAAACTGACCAAGATACCTTTGCAATGTTGCATTTAGTTGGTTTGAGGCATTGTGCTGGGCAGCCCTGAAAGTAGGTAATGTCTACATTTAACTAATTCAACAAATATTAGTTTATCACATACTGTATAGTAGGCCACTAGCAGGGTGCTAGGAAGACTTCGGAGATGTTCCAGGTGTAAATCCCCTATCAAAGCGTCTGTAAATGTTCCAGTGCAACCTGAATCTGGACCTGATGGAGGCGAGAGAGAGCAGAAAAACCAAGAGTTTTAGGATTTGAACAAAAGTTGATTTATATTCTGCCTCTTCCATTTACTGTTCATATGAGCTTGATTTGTCTCTAAACCAGGTACCAGACAGTGTCTTCTGTGGATCATTTGAGATAACTTACTGACAGTGCAGTCCATATCAGGTATTACGTATGTGCTAATTTCCTTTTTCTAGAAACTGTTCATGCGTCTTTACCATGATGGTTTAGTTAGTAGATGGCTGATACTAGCAGGAAAAAACAATATGGTTCCCAGGTATAAAATTATAAAGCCCTGTAAATTATGGAGAAGGAAACCTGAGTTGAGTCAGCCTTTTAACTTATTTTGCTTAGAGCACTATCAAAAAGTTGCAGAAAGAGTTGTGGGAAAGGAGGAAAAGAGATGAAATATGAAATCTTAGTTGGATCTTAGGCTGTGTAACAGTATTTTGAACGTGAACTTTTGGGGTTTTGTTCTGCAGACTTGCTAGAATATTATTGTCTATAGAAAACTGGCTTCTAGAATTAAAGATACATAAGATAAATCTTAATAAGTTACAGATCAAAGCCAGCCTCTGAATTTGTAGCATTAAAATGTGAAAAATCACTTTTATTATTCAAAGTTCACATCTCACCTGATCAAGTTTCTTATCGTTAAATATGAAGATTCATACACACACATACATAATAGTTAGGTATTTCATACTGTAAGGAAAGTATTTAACTCTAGATCTACATTGTTCTGTTTACATCTTTGCTGACAGAGATTTGATGTCAAATTGCAGAGCTCTTGTAATAATTTGCTGTGCCTCGGTTTCTGGAACATAGATACAATGAATTCACCTCCCACAAGATTATTCTAACAATGGAATAAAATAATGCCTATGGAAATATTCCAAAAAAGGCATAATGTACCACAAAATGCAAAGCTCAGATCTATTCAACTGAGGATATATAAAATTCCCAAAAAAGAGTACATTTTGTTACCTTGAGAAGAGACCATTTCCTTCTGAATTTCTCCCAGTTTCTACCACATCTTGTGTTCCGAAATGCAGATTCTAGTGCAATTGGGCCTCAGAAGAAATTCGACCCTTTACAATTTGAAAGTCAGCTAATGCAATGATTCTAGCCAAAGTGACCCATTTTAAAAGGTGACCCATTTTGAAACCCACGAGGAGTTATTCAAGCTGTTCTATATTTGAGAGGTAGAAAATTATTTCCTTTTCCTGCAACCTCACCATTTGAGTGTCTTTTATAAAAAGGGAAATTTGATCTCCATTTTGATGAAATATAATGTGACATTTTCTACTTGATAGGGCCTGCACTGTACATATTTTGAAAATTATTTCCCACCTTCTGAGCTTTCTTCCTTGGCAAAGCAATTATAAGTATCTACCTCCTACTCATCCCTCATCAGCTCAGTTTCGCAGAGCTCCAGCTTGGACTTTCCCTGTCATAACACTCATCCAACCTTAAGGTGTCATGATGATGCCTGGAGGACACAGATGGGTGCGACCGAGTCAGCCTCCTTCTCAGAGAATGCTCAATATACACGCATGGAGAGTGTGTGTGGGAGAGGGGGGAAGAGCAAGAAGGGAAGAGCAGGAGAAAATGAGCAGTTAAAGCATGTAATGGATACATTTCAGGTATTGAATTTATCTTGCTTTACATACTAGTTAAAGTATGTAATGGAAACATTTCAGGTATTGAATTTATTTTGCTAAGGCAAAAACAGTTGGCCCCAAAAAGCAGGTCTCCGCCCCCGTCCCCCCCCCCCGCAAGATATAAAATCTACCATAAATTTCTTTTGAGAAAGTTAAAACCTCAGCTGTGAATCACTAATCATTCTTTCAAAAAGTTGAGGGTGCGATCATTTCTGCATCACCACTTAATAAACTACCTTCACTCATCCTTTTCTGGGTCAATTTCAGCTTTTCACATCCCTCTTTCTTCCCCCAAAGGGACCAGGCAAGGTTTCCCAAAATAAAGGCACAGAGGAACAAATCCAATTCGAAAGGATGTACTGTGATCAAAGAATTACCCTAAATATGAGCTACAAGCCACCACCCGCCACTCTGCGGTTACAACATCGGTGTCCCTTTAACATGATCCATAAACCTATGAAAACCAACACTGGGAAAGAAAAATACAGAGTGCGTAGAGTCGAATTACAAGTTGTTACTTTACCTGTATGGTATTTGAGCAAGCAACTGACTCTGTCCCATCAGGATGCAAAATGAAATTCAGCAGAGTCAAAGTAAAATACTAGCACCCAAACCCTCCCCGTTAGGGAGGGAGCTTGGTTTCCCAGTTTCCCCTGCCTGCCCACTTCCCTGTCCCCATTTCTCCAGCCAGTAATTCGCCGAACGCTTCCCCTGTCCGCGGGTTTCCGCATTTCCCACCGAGGCAGGCTTTCCAGCCCAGGGCTGCAGCGCGGCTGGGGCCCCCAGGCGGAACCGAGCAGGGGGCGCGGAGTTCGCCTCAAGGCTCCCGCGCTCGGACCGGTGTCCGCATCGCGGAGCTCCCCAGGGAGGGAGAACCCGCCCGGCCCCGGGCAACTGCCTCCAGCCGGACCTGCCAGCTCCGAGCCTACCTGCCGCACCTGGGCG